AGGAATTGAATATCTCTCCAAAAACCACCTCCCCTTTCTCTCTCCCCGCTACTGTCTTCATATTTGCACGAAAGTGATCAGTTCGCGGACTCGTTGGTCAGTTCACGGCCGTGAACACCTAAACGGGTCTGGGAACTCAGTGTCGTCCAAAACGCGCCGCACAAAGTTGGGGTGATTGCGCCACCTTGGATTATAAGTATTGTTATAAGGTTTGTTGCCCCCATGAGCATTGGCGATGAAGTATAGCTATTCATATGGAGTAGTAGCCTCCATCATTGCTTGACAGTCGTCTAGTGCATGGTTGGTGCTAGAACACCAATCGCATAGCATAGCTTGAGATGTAGACCGGTTCCCAAATGGACGTGAGTTCCTCGCCACCATCTTAATAATATTATCAAGCTTACAGACAAGGGCTTGGTCTAGTGGTAATACCACTAGCCTAGAACCTAGAGGTCCCAAGTTCAAATCCTTTGAGTAGTACCTTAATCACACATACAAAAAAAAAAAATCACACTTATAAAAAAATAAGATTATCAAGCTTTGCCTCTATGTAGAGATGGCAAATGGATTGGATTCATGGGTTGGTGGATTGGATTGGTGGATCCATGGATCAAATGGGTTGGTGGATTGATCTAGAATCCAAATGACATCCAAAGTTTGACCAAAATATAAATTCTTAAACGTTTTTGTCGTCCTAAGTTTGGCGAAATCGGAAAAAAGCTCATTCAGGGTAGCTAACGTCGCTTTATCGAGATAAAGGCAGGAACAAACCGCCTGTGGCATTTTGCGGCTTGCAAGATCTCGAAAAGTTATGTTGGAATAAAAAAAAAATCGATACGATTGGATAACTGAGCACAAAGTTACGTTTATTTGAAATTTCGACTTAATAGGGCCTCCAATCACGGAATTGAATATCATTTCATCCAAATAATGAACTACTCATTATCCAGCCCCCTTCCTTCCACAAGTTTACTGACTTCAATATGGATAACAGAGCACAATCCATCAATTGGAAACATGAAGAATCACAAGGAACGACCAATTAAGAGCCAAGCAACTCTCCACCTACATCCCAATAGAAGATACTTGTCAATTGTCATGAATTAGGAAAAATCGAATGGACGAAATTGTTCTACCATCGAGCTGGGAAGATAATTTTCGAGGCACTCAAAGATGTTGTCTCGAGCTGCCAGAAATCCGCATGACATTAGGATTCCGAGTTGGATTCGGATTACTTGTATAATTTAGTTTCCTTCCTGAATTAGTTTAGTTTCCATTAGTGTTTAGGTTTGTTTAAGCTTGTTTATGCCTTTAAAAGCCCTCATTCATGTATTGTGAAGTTCAGAGTTGATTTATGAAGATAACCCCAAAATTCCCAACGTTTTGAGTTGTGAAGTTGTCTTGTTTTGGTTGCGATCAAATTAAGCTTGCTGAATATTGGCCTATTAATTGAGCAAACCCCCTCGATTACATCGAAGGCGACCTCATAACGATCGAGCACTCTTCCTGGTGTAAGAGTTCCCTTTCGTTTCCATCGAAACCCCATTCAAACAAGCTTACCCAAGCTCTTTGGAATACCTTGTTCTTGTGTTCTCGAACAAGGAATTTTATTCCTTTGATTGAGCTATGCAATTATGATCCAAGAAGGCATCATTGTGAGGCGACTAGTGAAGGAAGAACCAGAGACAAAGAGATTCCTAAAGAATTTGTTAGGGTTTGGTAAGAAAGATATGGAAAGCAATAATTAAATGTACAATAATCACATGTGGAAATCTTATGTCTGTTTGATAATCAGAATCGGTCTTAATCGTTTCTATGAAATCATTTACCTATTGGTCCATATATCACCACTTCACTAAACAATAGGTATTGATTCAAGCAATAAATCATATATTCGAACATTAATGTCATGCATCCACTAACCATAATGTTTTATCAATCAAAATATGAAGTTGTAAGTGCTTAGACTTAATATGATAGTTAAGGCTGCTCTTATTCACCGCAGGAGCACACACCTTAGGTTTTGATGATTCTGCGTCTAGCCTTGTATCCCCTCCTATGGACTCAGAATTCGATACTATTGACAATGTGACGTTTCTTGCTTCAAACTCTCCGCAACAGCACAACGTATTTGATGTAATGATGAAGTTGGAAAGGAGTGTTCCCCTGAATGCATCATTGTTATTCAGAACCCGAGATTAACTTCTCTTATGTCGAAACATCAAACAAACATAACTTTGTGCTCGCGTACCCGATCGTAGCGAGTTTTTTGATTCCGCTTAACTTTCCGAGATCTTATATGGCGAAACTTCTGCAGGCGGTTTGGTCCCACTTTTGTCCTAGAAAAACGTCGTTTGTTTCCACGAATGAACTTTTTTCCGATCGATTTCGCCGAACTTTGGACGACTATAACTTTAGGCTCCGCACTTCGAACGTCATGAATTTTTTTTTAATTTCGCGTAACTTTAGAAGGACTACAACTTTTACATGGAAGGAATTTTCAAAACAGGAATTATTTCGGGATATAGGGGATTTTGGGAATAGCTTTACCTTCACTTTTCACAAATCCAAGTACATTCAGAAATTATGAATATGATAAAAATTGTAGTCCTTGAAAAGTTAGACGAAATCAAAAAAAAAATCATGACATTCGGATTGTGGAGAACAAAGTTATAGTCGTCCAAAGTTTGGCGAAATCGGATAAAAGCTCGTTAGGGGTAGCTAACGTCGTTTTATCGGGACGAAGGCCGGACCAGACCGCCTGTGGCAGTTTGCGGCTTGCAAGATCTCGAAAAGTTATGTTGGAATAAAAAAAATCGCTATGATCGGATACTTGAGCACAAAGTTACGTTTGTTTAATATTTCGACTTAATAGGGCCTCCAATCGCGGAATTGAATATCATTTCATCCAAATAATGAACTCCTCATTATCCAGCCACCTTTCTTCCACAAGTTTACTGACTTCAATATGGATAACAGAGCACAATCCATCATATGGAAACATGAAGAATCACAAGGAACGACCAATTGAGAGCCAAGCAACTCTCCACCTCTAATACACGAAATAGAAGATACTTGTCAATTGTCATGAATTAGGTCAAATCGAATGGACGAAATTGTTCTACCATCGCCTCTACACCCCAATCTGAAAAGGCGGATATCGAGATCGTACTCTCGAAAGAAGGGAAACAACCATGAACTTTGAGGATATTAATCTGGGCTATTCGATGCTACTAACCTTCTTGGATTGCTCGAATCCTACGAGATCGATTAATGCTAGAGATTTGGGGATTTATAGGATTAGTTTGGAGCAATGGATCTAGGGATTTTGGATCTTTTATAGAGAAAGCGAGAGTGAAGAAAGGTAGATGAGATCTGATTAGAGCGCTAGCTTTGGGGAACTGCTGGCTGCCTTCCTCACACCATCGACCCCAACACTGCTCGGTGACTCAATGTATTGGATCTTCCTGGGAGAAGGATAACGCCATTTTTCTTTCTTATGGAGTTGGATTGCGTTTTTTTTCTACGCGAGAGCGATTAGATGAGAGAGAGACAGAGGGGAGGGGTCATCACTAATGTTCTAATAGAATAAATATCTTTTCCAAAAAATAATATTTTATGTCACTACTTACATTGTCACCAAAACGACATTTAACATATGTAAAGATAAACTGCGCCACATAAAACAATGAACTAAAGGTGACGTTGGACTGCATCACAGGAAAGATTTATTTCGTCACGAATAGTTTTTTGCTAGGTCTGACAAAAAATTTAAGCTTTTTGTGACAAGCAGTAAATTTCGTCACACAAAATGTACATTATGTGACGAAATTTGACCCATCACAGAATATTTTTTCACAAAAGAGTAACTTTGTTGTACTGTCGGAAATAAGCTCGTTTGGGGTAGCAAACGACATTTTTTCCAGAAGAAGGCGAGATCAAACCGCCTACGGCAGTTTGCGGCTTGCAAGATCTCGAAAAGTTATGCGGAATCAAAAAATATCTCGCTACGATCGGATACCGGAGCACAAAGTTACGTTTGTTTGAAGATTCGACTAAAGTAGGATGAAAAAAAAAATATATACATACAAACAGCTGCTTCTCGGCGTAGTTTATTAGACCGCCACGCCCCAATGCGGTTTTCAGTGAAAAAGGCACCCTCCCCAAGCGGTTTTCGGGAAATGTGGTGTTTTGGGAGTTTTTCGGAAATTGGTGGTATTTTTGAATTTTTTTATTAAGTGGTGTTTCTGGAAAAGTTCACCGTACTAGGGAAAACAATCAGAATTTAAGAAAGAAAAAAAGCTCTAGAATAAAAATAACCGTAATACAGTCCATTCTATAACTTTAATGGCATAATTAACCCTTGATCCTATTTGCACAGGAATACATCTTTAAAATTGATAATCAAGATACCACAATAAAAGCGCTCAACTGGATAAGGATCGTTATCTCTACAATCAAATGAGGGTGGTAGATTTTGCATCCAATCAGTCCCAGTTCAGTGGAGATTTATAATAAGCAAGAATTTCTAGTAGCGCGATGTAGCTAGTGTTAGGAACAGAATGATTCAAACACATCATTTTGCTCGCATTTTCGAAGAATTTTTCTTGTGACACGTAGGGTTTTGTTGATTACCGAGATTAATTATATGTTAATAAAAGATAATGAGCGTCTAGCAATGCACGTCGAGGATTCGGTAAGATCTATCTAGGATCGCCACAATTACGAAATTAAAGGATTGAATTTGGGAAAATGACTTATGAAATTTGTGAATTGGTAGTAGTGGGATATTAACTAGTTATCATTTTAAGGATCCGAAATGAAACATTAGCATATAACCAATGAAATTATAAAAATTGGATAAGTCATTTTAATAATATACAAATACAAATGAAACAATGTTTATGAGAGGGTACTAGGCTGATTACGTACATAATAGGAAATTTAAGACAATAAATAAATGAATATTTGTGCATAAGGGAAGGGAAGGGAAGAGGTAATCAGTTGGCAACCGAATCTGTTGCACCAAAAAGCAGATGGTTGTGATTGTGGCCTCCATCAACTATCAAACTCAATCCGCTCACGTATTTTGCATCGTCACTGGCCAAGTATAAGGCAGCCCGAGCAACATCCTCGGGTTCGAGGATAGCCCGTCTCAAGTTTCCAGCGGCGGACATGAATTCCTCAGCAGCCTTCTTGTCCATTTGCATGCCGCTTGTGACCATGGGAGTGGCCACTCCATAGGGAGAAATAGTGTTGACCCTGATGCCGTACTTGCCCAGCTCCACGGTCAAGTTGTTGTTGAACCCCAAAATAGCATGCTTGGAAGCCTTGTATGCGTAAGACAAGTCGCCACTTATAGAAGCGGCAACGCTGCCGGTGAACAAGATGCAACCTTTCCTTGCGGGAATCATAACCCTGGCGGCGTGTTTGGCTCCGAGGAAGGATCCGAAGAGGTTGATTTCAAGCACCTTCTTGAAGTCGGCGTTGTCCGAGTTTAAGATGGTGGTGTCGAGGTTACCTCCGATTCCAGCGTTGTTGTACATGATGTCTAGCTGGCCGTACCTTGACACTGCTGTATCAACGACATTCTCAAAGTTAGAATCACTTGTAACGTTTCATGGATTGATCAAGAAGTTAGTTTCACAAGGTAGAAAGAATCTGAATTTTGGTTAAGTCTTTTATGTGTTTCATTGTACCAACTTTGGAGGCTTGGTTCGATCAAGTCATTCAATGAAAATTTGAGTTTGATGGCTTGTTTTTGAAGATGGAGTAAACCTGTGCAAGATGGAAGGCTTATAAGTTCCAATTGAAGTATGGAAGGCCATGATTGAAGCTCTCCAAGTTGCCAAATTAAAACCGAGAATCTGCCATTTTTGGCTAGGGCAAATAGCGAGATCAAGGTGCCAAATTTGGAACTTAATAGCTGGAGTTTGGGACACAAGCAGAGACTAATTCGAGTTGCCATGGAAAGAAGAGTACTTACTAAACCAAGGGCAGGAATTGGATGAAGACGAATGGCCTGGGAAGATAATTTTCGAGGCACTCAAAGATGTTGTCTCGAGCTGCCAGAAATCCGCATGACATTAGGATTCCGAGTTGGATTCGGATTACTTGTATAATTTAGTTTCCATTAGTGTTTAGGTTTGTTTAAGCTTGTTTATGCATTTAAAAGCCCTCATTCATGTATTGTGAAGTTCAGAGTTGATTTATGAAGATAACCCCAAAATTCCCAACGTTTTGAGTTGTGAAGTTGTCTTGTTTTGGTTGCGATCAAATTAAGCTTGCTGAATATTGGCCTATTAATCGAGCAAACCCCCTCGATTACATCGAAGGAGACCTCATAACGATCGAGCACTCTTCCTGGTGTAAGAGTTCCCTTTCGTTTCCATCGAAACCCCATTCAAACAAGCTTACCCAAGCTCTTTGGAATACCTTGTTCTTGTGTTCTCGAACAAGGAATTTTATTCCTTTGATTGAGCTATGCAATTATGATCCAATAAGAAGGCATCATTGTGAGGCGACTAGTGAAGGAAGAACCAGAGACAAAGAGATTCCTAAAGGATTTGTTAGGGTTTAGTAAGAAAGATATGGAAAGCAATAATTAAATGTACAATAATCACATGTGGAAATCTTATGTCTGTTTGATAATCAGAATCGGTCTTAATCGTTTCTATGAAATCATTTACCAATTGGTCCAGATATCACCACTTCACTAAACTACGTCGGGAAGCAGCGGTTCATGTGCAAACCCCCCCCCCCCCCCACCCCCTATGCAACAGTTTGTATGGATATTTTATTTCAATCCAATCTTATGTCGAAACATCAAACAAACATAAATTTGTGCTCGCGTACCCGATCGTAGCGTGTTTTTTATTCCGCTTAACTTTCCGAGATCTTGCATGGCGAAACTTCTGCAGGCGGTTTGGTCCCGCTTTTGTCCTAGAAAAACGTCGTTTGTTTCCCCGAACGAGCTTTTTTCCGATCGATTTCGTCAAACTTTGGACGACTATAACTTTAGGCTCCGCACTTCGAACGTCATGAATTTTTTTTTAATTTCGCGTAACTTTAGAAGGACTACAACTTTTACATGGAAGGAATTTTCAAAACAGGAATTATTTCTGGATATACGGGATTTTGGGAATAGCTTTACCTTCACTTTTCACAAATCCAAGTACATTCAGAAATTATGAATATGATAAAAATTGTATTCCTTGAAAAGTTAGACGAAATCAAAAAAAAAAATCATGACATTCGGATTGCGGAGAACAAAGTTATAGTCGTCCAAAGTTTGGCGAAATCGGATAAAAGCTCGTTCGGGGTAGCTAAAGTCGTTTTATCGGGACGAAGGCAGGACCAGGCCGCCTGTGGCAGTTTGCGGCTTGCAAGATCTCGAAAAGTTATGTTGGAATAAAAAAAAATCGCTACGATCGGATACCTGAGCACAAAGTTACGTTTGTTTAATATTTCGATTTAATAGGGCCTCCAATCGCGGAATTGAATATCATTTCATCCAAATAATGAACTCCTCATTATCCAGCCACCTTCCTTCCACAAGTTTACTGACTTCAATATGGATAACAGAGCACAATCCATCAAATGGAAACATGAAGAATCACAAGGAACGACCAATTGAGAGCCAAGCAACTCTCCACCTCTAATACACGAAATAGAAGATACTTGTCAATTGTCATGAATTAGGTCAAATCGAATGGACGAAATTGTTCTACCATCGCCTCTACACCCCAATCTGAAAAGGCGGATATCGAGATCGTACTCTCGAAAGAAGGGAAACAACCATGAACTTTGAGGATATTAATCTGGGCTAATCGATGCTACTAACCTTCTTGGATTGCTCGAATCCTACGAGATCGATTAATGCTAGAGATTTGGGGATTTATAGGATTAGTTTGGAGCAATGGATCTAGGGATTTTGGATCTTTTATAGAGAAAGCGAGAGTGAAGAAAGGTAGATGAGATCTGATTAGAGCGCTAGCTTTGGGGAACTGCTGGCTGCCTTCCTCACACCATCCACCCCAACACTGCTCGGTGACTCAAAGTATTGGATCTTCCTGGGAGAAGGATAACGCCATTTTTCTTTCTTCTGGAGTTGGATTGCGTTTTTTTCTACGCGAGAGCGATTAGATGAGAGAGAGACAGAGGGGAGGGGTCATCACTAATGTTCTAATAGAATAAATATCTTTTCCAAAAAATAATATTTTATGTCACTACTTACATTGTCACCAAAACGACATTTAACATATGTAAAGATAAACTGCGCCACATAAAACAATGAACTAAAGGTGACGTTGGACTGCATCACATGAAAGATTTATTTCGTCGCGAATAGTTTTTTGCTAGGTCTGACAAAAAATTTAAGCTTTTTGTGACAAGCAGTAAATTTCGTCACACAAAATGTACATTATGTGACGAAATTTGACCCATCACAGAATATTTTTTCACAGAAGAGTAACTTTGTTGTACTGTCGGAAATAAGCTCATTTGGGGTAGCAAACGACATTTTTTCCAGAAGAAGGCGAGATCAACCCGCCTACGGCAGTTTGCGGCTTGCAAGATCTCGAAAAGTTATGCGGAATCAAAAAATATCTCGCTACGATCGGATACCGGAGGACAAAGTTACGTTTGTTTGAAGATTCGACTAAAGTCGGATGAAAAAAAATAGGGCTAATACCACTACAACACCCGAACTATGACGAAAAAGAAGGGTGAAGGTTGAATCCAAATAATAAAGGAGAAGGAAGACCCAAAGAGGGGTTGTGAAATTTTTTCATTTGGGCGGGCAATTGAAAATGAAAATTGATGGTTGGGCGGGCCTTTGAAATTTTTAAGGAGCCAAATAATTGAGGTAGAGAGCTGAGCGCCACAGATTTAAGGAGCCAAAAAATTTGTTAAATTAATTTTAACTGTGGCGTTGGAAACCGAATCAAGTAACGAAATATCTGTCGGTTCCAACTGACAAAAATCTAAACCGACGTAAATAGTTTGAGATTTGTGTCGCTCATAGGTTGAACCAACACAAATCTAAAAAAATTAGTGTCGTTTAATTAAACGACTCCAATCACCGACACGAATTCTTATATTTGTGTCGGTTAAATGAACTGACACAAAGCAAACGACGCAAATCATATTTTTCTTGTAGTGTTCGTGTATATATATATATACTTAATTTGTTTGAAAAAACTAGTCAAAATGTTAAATCAATTTGTATGACTTGCAAACTTGTTATGTAATTAATCATAATTGGTAAAGTACACTAGCTAATAGTAATGGTGATATCAATATTTGCAACCAAAAGACACCATTAATTGTTTACTTGATATTTTAGTATTAATTCAGTAGTAATTGGATTAAAATATCTTGTTTAGTATAACAATGCAAATCTAGTATTTGGCGTGTGGTATTTGGCAAAAGCGAAGTGATAAAAGAGTTATTTCGAAATAACTCATTGCCAAAATAACTTCAGTAAACTATTGCCAAACGAGTTATTTGTAAAATTGTTCGAATTATCCTAAAAATTGAACCATTAAAGATTAACTATCAAATTTAGTAAAATTATTGTGACTTCAATCATAACTTACTCAATAACATATATCCTATACACTTAGCCTTACCCTCAATCAACAATATTAAGTTAGTATATGTTGTTGATTGTATACCCTAAGGCCTAAACCATCAATACATTATACACTAACCACATGTCATATACCCTATACCCTAACCATATATCCTATACTCTACACCACATACATTGTACCCTAACCACGTACCATAAACATAAATTAAAAAAGGATCTCCTACCGTTAAAGACTTCAAATGACTTCAAGTGAACATATGTTAATAAAAAACTTAGAACCGTCAAAACCATCAATATCTTATACCCTAACCATATACGCCCTAAACCATCTGTATCTTATACCCTATACTCTAACCATAAACTTTATACCCTAAACAACGAACCGTCAAAGATTACTTATCAAGTTTAGTATAATTGTTGTAACTAATGGCTAATTTATTTATTATCCCATAAACAATTACATATATATTAGCCTGCAAAGCATATAAGAATAAATTTAACTAATCATGCCCTCCATATAAAAGTTAAAGATTCATATTTCAAAGGCTAAAATTTTGAAAAACCAAAAAATTGAAAACACCAAATTTGTTTCCTACAATTGGTACTTCATCACTTTCGATTTTGGTTAAACAAAAGGCAAGAAATTTCTCTATTGTAGAGCTACAAAAGAAATGAGTGAGTTTAAACAAAAGATAACAATTTATTACTATAAATAAAGACGAAAGTGCATTGCATAACAAAACTTACTAGGTTGAGATGGTAAGAAATTCTTCTTGCAACTGAATGATCACTGGTTCGAATTTGTATATACCCCTACTCGAAAAAAAATTCTCCAAACCAAGGGGGGTGCACCCCCCTCCTCTCCAAGTGGCTCCGCCACTGTATGTGATGTTTTGTGAATGATTTAAGTGTTGTTGAATTTTTACTATGTTGAATTTAAGTTGATGTTATTTAAGTGTGTTGGAGTTGAAGTAGTGTTGCATTTCTTTATGTTGGATTGAGCATAAGTATAATATAATTACATTTTTCATATTTCCGAGCTAAACCGGGTGACCCATTGACCCATGACCCACTAGCTCGTCCGGGTCCGGGTCGACCCGCGGTTTGACAACCTTGCTTCCCACAAATCAAAACCACCAAAATACCACTTGTTTCTTTTCTACAAATTCAAAGTACCAAATTTCCCTCTTCTTTCTCTTCCCAAGAAGTTGAATACACCAAAATTTCCCTATTCTTTTAAAAACATCAAATACATTACATTACTTTATTTATATTTAATTAATAATTTTATTGAATAGTTAAGTTAACCAAAAGTTTAATTTATATATTATATTAATATTGTCCATGATTTTAATTATTAATTCTTAATTATTAATATTGACATTATGCTGATTTTATATTTTATATTTACTTTTTTAATTTTGTTAAAGAACTTAGTGTTCAAGTGACATTCATGTTTCAATTTTTGTAATTTTCTTAAAATACATAATATCAAGTGAGTTTCATATTTTTTAAATTCCCTATACGAAATGAAAAAATAATTTTACTTAAGTTTGGAATGAAAAACTTTATTTTGAAAAATTATGTATTGTATATTATAATAATTATTCAAGTGGATTAGATGAAGTTCAGGTTGAGTCGGTCGGGTTACGGGTTAGTCGGGTTAGGGTCAATCGGGTTGCGGGTTAATCGGGTTGCGGGCCAGTCGGGTTGCGGGCCAATCGGGTTCGGGTTAATCGGGTTGCGGGTCAGTCGGGTTGCAGGTTAGTTGGGTTGCGGGTCAATCGGGTTGCGGGTCGAGCGGGTTACGGGTTGTTGACTTTTAGTCAATTCGGGTTGTGGTCGGGTTGCGGGTCGGGTTGATCGGGCGGGTTAATCGGGTCGGGCTATGTTTTGACACCTATAGACGTACGTAAGCCAATACCTGAATTATTTGGCTGCCTTCTTTGTTCACGAAGCCGTCACAACTGGGTGTTCAAAAATTCAACCAATATCCATCAAAAAAAAATCCAACCCATACACACGCTTCATAATAATTATATTAAAAAAAAACCTTGCGTTAGAGACCTTCTACTTGTATAAGAAAATTACGCGATATACGTGGTTTTCTCGACCATCAACCCGTTCAGACTTGTCTACGCTCGTTATAAAGTCTTCTTAACCTGTTGTTTGCCTACCTTTCATTACCATGCACAATGGAGGAATAGTTCTCCATATTTTTCAGAGTTCCGTACATCATCGGGTCGGCTGTACCTCCCATGCGTTTACAAGGCCGACTACAACCCTAGCTCAACTTGTGGACTATATCCTAGTAACCTTGTCTACGTGATGTATAACTCAAAGCTTATCTGGAGGGCAATGTAGAAAGATTTTGAACGTATATTTAAAGATATCGAATCTGATGACGAATGAATTGCTGAAGATTAGGAAGCCAATAAAACTGAGGATGATCAAGTGCTCAATGAAGAAGGGAATGCACCAATCAATTATTTACCTTTGAGAGATATGATTGTGAACATGGAAATATGATTGGTGTTAAATGTACTTCGAGTGAACCTGAGAATACTGATATCAGTGCCTAAGCAAATAGACAAGGATTCTATGAGAATGAGAGAGACGGTAAGGGTGATAATGTGACATGTAAAGGACTTATATGTTAATATTTGATCCGAATTGATATGATCCCAAATTGCTTAACCTTTGAGCTTTCATGGATTGATCAAGAAGTTAGTTTCACAAGGCAGAAAGAATCTGAATTTTGGTTAAGTCTTTTATGTGTTTCATGTTACCAACTTTGGAGGCTTGGTTCGATCAAGTCATTCAATGAAAATTTGAGTTTGATGGCTTGTTTTTGAAGATGGAGTAAACCTGTGCAAGATGGAAGGCTTATAAGTTCCAATTGGAGTATGGAAGACCATGATTGAAGCTCTCCAAGTTGCCAAATTAAAACCGAGAATCTGCCATTTTTGGCTAAGGCAAATAGCGAGATCAAGGTGCCAACTTTGGAACTTAATAGCTGGAGTTTGGGACACAAGCAGAGACTAATTCGAGTTGCCATGGAAAGAAGAGTACTTACTAAACCAAGGGCAGAAATTGGATGAAGACGAATGGCCTGGGAAGATAATTTTCGAGGCACTCAAAGATGTTGTCTCGAGCTGCCAGAAATCCGCATGACATTAGGATTCCGAGTTGGATTCGGATTACTTGTATAATTTAGTTTCCTTGCTGAATTAGTTTAGTTTCCATTAGTGTTTAGGTTTGTTTAAGCTTGTTTATGCCTTTAAAAGCCCTCATTCATGTATTGTGAAATTCAGAGTTGGTTTATGAAGATAACCCCAAAATTCCCAACGTTTTGATTTGTGAAGTTGTCTTGTTTTGGTTGCGATCAAATTAAGCTTGCTGAATATTGGCCTATTAATCAAGCAAACCCCCTCGATTACATCGAAGGCGACCTCATAACGATCGAGCACTCTTCCTGGTGTAAGAGTTCCCTTTCGTTTCCATCGAAACCCCATTCAAACAAGCTTACCCAAGCTCTTTGGAATACCTTGTTCTTGTGTTCTCGAACAAGGAATTTTATTCCTTTGATTGAGCTATGCAATTATGATCCAAGAAGGCATCATTGTGAGGCGACTAGTGAAGGAAGAACCAGAGACAAAGAGATTCCTAAAGGATTTGTTAGGGTTTGGTAAGAAAGATATGCAAAGCAATAATTAAATGTACAATAATCACATGTGGAAATCTCATGTCTGTTTGATAATCAGAATCGGTCTTAATCGTTTCTATGAAATCATTTACCAATTGGTCCAGATATCACCACTTCACTAAACAATATGTATTGATTCAAGCAATAAATCATATATTCGAACATTAATGTCATGCATCCACTAACCATAATGTTTTATCAATCAAAATATGAAGTTGTAAGTGCTTATCCCCTCCTATGGACTCAGAATTCGATACTATTGACAATGTGACGCTTCTTGCTTCAAACTCTCCGCAACAGCACAACGTATTTGATGTAATGATGAAGTTGGAAAGGAGTGTTCCCCTGAATGCATCATTGTTATTCAGAACCCGAGATTAACTTCTCTAGGAACAAATAATGATAAACTACGTCGGGAAGCAGCGGTTCATGTGCAAACCCCCCCCCCCACCCCCTATGCAACAGTTTGTATGGATATTTTATTTCAATCCAATCTTATGTCGAAACATCAAACAAACATAACTTTGTGCTCGCGTACCCGATCGTAGCGAGTTTTTTATTCCGCTTAAGTTTCCGAGATCTTGCATGGCGAAACTTCTGCAGGCGGTTTGGTTCCGCTTTTGTCCTAGAAAAACGCCGTTTTTTTCCCCGAATGAGCTTTTTTCAGATCGATTTCGCCAAACTTTGGACGACTATAACTTTAGGCTCCGCACTTCGAACGTCATGAATTTTTTTTTAATTTCGCGTAACTTTAGAAGGAATACAACTTTTACATGGAAGGAATTTTCAAAACAGGAATTATTTCTGGATATACGGGCTTTTGGGAATAGCTTTACCTTCACTTTTCACAAATCCAAGTACATTCAGAAATTATGAATATGATAAAAATTGTAATCCTTGAAAAGTTAAGAAAGAAAAAAAGCTCTAGAATAAAAATAACCGTAATAAAGTCCATTCTATACCTTTAATGTCATAATTAACCCTTGATCCTATTTGCACAGGAATACCTCTTTAAAATTGATAATCAAGATACAATAAAAGCGCTCAACTGGATAAGGATCGTTATCTCTACAATCAAATGAGGGTGGTAGATTTTGCATCCAATCAGTCCCAGTTCAGTGGAGATTTATAATAAGCAAGAATTTCTAGTAGGGCGATGTAGCTAGTGTTAGGAACGGAATGATTCAAACACATCATTTTGCTCGCATTTTCGAAGAATTTTTCTTGTGACCCGTAGGGTTTTGTTGATTACCGAGATTAATTATATGTTAATAAAAGATAATGAGCGTCTAGCAATGCACGTCGAGGATTCGGTAAGATCTATCTAGGATCGCCACAATTACGAAATTAAAGGATTGAATTTGGGAAAATGACTTATGAAATTTGTAAATTGGTAGTAGTGGGATATTAACTAGTTATCATTTTAAGGATCCGAAATGAAACAATAGCATATAACCAATGAAATTATAAAAATTGGATAAGTCATTTTAATAATATACAAATACAAATGAAACAATGTTTATGAGAGGGTACTAGGCTGATTACGTACATAATAGGAAATTTAAGACAATAAATAAATGAATATTTGTGCATCAGGGAAGGGAAGGGAAGAGGTAATCAGTTGGCAAGCGAATCTGTTGCACCAAAAAGCGGATGGTTGTGATTGTGGCCTCCATCAACTATCAAATTCAATCCGCTCACGTATTTTGCATCGTCACTGGCCAAGTATAAGGCAGCCCGAGCAACATCCTCGGGTTCGAGGATAGCCCCTCTCAAGTTTCCAGCGGCGGACATGAATTCCTCAGCAGCCTTCTTGTCCATTTGCATGCCGCTTGTGACCATGGGAGTGGCCACTCCATAGGGAGAAATGGTGTTGACCCTGATGCCGTACTTGCCCAGCTCCACGGTCAAGTTGTTGTTGAGCCCCAAAATAGCATGCTTGGAAGCCTTGTATGCGTAAGACAAGTCGCCACTTATAGAAGCGGCAACGCTGCCGGTGAACAAGATGCAACCTTTCCTTGCGGGAATCATAACCCTGGCGGCGTTTTGGCTCCGAGGAAGGATCCGAAGAGGTTGATTTCAAGCACCTTCTTGAAGTCGGCGTTGTCCGAGTTTAAGATGGTGGTGTCGAGGTTACCTCCGATTCCAGCGTTGTTGTACATGATGTCTAGCTGGCCGTACCTTGACACCGCTGTATCAACGGCATTCTCAAGGTCAGAATCACTTGTAACGTTGCAGTGGACAAAGGAGACGATCTCCGGCGGGCCGAGATCCATGGCGAGGGACTGTCCGAGTTTGTCTTGAACGTCGGCGATGAGGACCTTGGCTCCGTGGTGGACGAACAGCCTGGCGGTGCTCTCGCCTATGCCGCTAGCTCCGCCGGTGATGATTGCCACTTTGCCCTCCAGCTTTCTAGGAGAGGCGGTTGAGATATCTGAGCTCACCATGTTTTGTTTTCTTTTGTTTTGTGGGGGAAATGAGTCGAGAGAGAGAGAATCAGTTTGCTTGCTGATGAATCTTTGTTTTTAAATTTGCCTTCGGTAAGAAGATGTTTGCTTGTGGTTGTTGGTTGAATGAGGGCTGAGCGCTCTTTATATATAGTTCTAGTTCTGGCTCAAGATAGGGTGCATAACCATGGGTTATGCACCGATCAATAACCAAATCTGGACCCTTCATTTAGAAAATCCAGATCTAAGGATGGAGAATTAAAGACTATTTTTATTTTCACTAGCTTTCTTAATTGACTCATATCTTTTTCGCTTTAAATCGGATTTTAATTTTTTTTGCACAGATGGAACGAGTTCACCGTGCTCTACAAAATGAGATCAATTTTCAATATTTTTTTAGGAAAAAAAAATTCTGGCCTCTCGGTACCAACTGCATACCATATGGTATATTCTTCGTTTTTAATTCGTTTTTGAAAACGTTTGCACAGCAGGGATGAGTTCATCATGATCTACTGGATCTACAAATTTCTGGGTGAACAAATTACAGGACCAAAAAATACCACACAATACCATACAATACCACCCTGGTACGGGGTGGTATTGTATGGTATCTTCTTCATTTTTAATTCGTTTTTGAAAATGTTTGCACAGAAGGGACGAGTTCATCATGATCTATTGGATCTACAATTTTCTGGGTGAACAAATTACAGGACCAAAAAATACCACACAATACCATACAATACCACCCTGGTACGGGGTGGTATTGTGTGATATACAATGTTAAAAGTCGTAAATTACAATTAATATACTTCTACTATCATGTATTCAACCATCCTACAGTATTGGTTTGTTCATACCACCATGGTACGTTTTTCAAAACATAGGTATGCTTTTATTTCAATACCAGTCAATACCATATGGTATAGGCTGGTAAAAAATGGCTCAATTTTTTTTGTTCGAAAAATATATTAAAGTGGATATCATTTTGAAGAGCACAATTAATCTGATCTAACTGTGCAAAAAAAATTAAATTTCGACTTAAAATGAGCGAGAAATCGTCCGTCAAAGATTAAAGAGGGAAAAATTAAAGGCTTTTCATGAGAGAGAGGATGCTGATGTCATGCTGATGTGCACGGGTTACTCATGGTTACTCACCATAAGGTTACTGACCTGATCCTTCCCCTCTAGTTCTACATGCAGGCAAACCAATTTAGCGTGTCCTTTGACAATTAATTAATTAATTAATTAATGGTGTACGTATTATAACATTCCATCGTAGAATAGAATGGGGAGAGGAGATGAATATATAATTAGTTTCAAGGGTCAAGCCAATGACCTGAATCACAAGGTCAAGGTGAAAATGCGTACGTAGAAAAACAGTCCCGACGCGCAAGGCGCATAGACGTACGTAAGCCAATACCTGAATTATTTGGCTGCCTTCTTTGTTCACGAAGCCGTCACAACTGGGTGTTCAAAAATTCAACCAATATCCATAAAAAAAAAATCCAACCCATACACACGCTTCATAATAATTATATTAAAAAAAAACCTTGCGTTAGAGACCTTCTACTTGTATAAGAAAATTACGCGATATACGTGGTTTTCTCGACCATCAACCCGTTCAGACTTGTCTACGCTCGTTATAAAGTCTTCTTAACCTGTTGTTTGCCTACCTTTCATTACCATGCACAATGGAGGAATAGTTCTCCATATTTTTCAGAGTTCCGTACATCATCGGGTCGGCTGTACCTCCCATGCGTTTACAAGGCCGACTACAACCCTAGCTCAACTTGTGGACTATATCCTAGTAACCTTGTCTACGTGATGTATAACTCAAAGCTTATCTGGAGGGCAATGTAGAAAGATTTTGAACGTATATTTAAAGATATCGAATCTGATGACGAATGAATTGCTGAAGATTAGGAAGCCAATAAAACTGAGGATGATCAAGTGCTCAATGAAGAAGGGAATGCACCAATCAATTATTTACCTTTGAGAGATATGATTGTGAACATGGAAATATGATTGGTGTTAAATGTACTTCGAGTGAACCTGAGAATACTGATATCAGTGCCTAAGCAAATAGACAAGGATTCTATGAGAATGAGAGAGACGGTAAGGGTGATAATGTGACATGTAAAGGACTTATATGTTAATATTTGATCCGAATTGATATGATCCCAAATTGCTTAACCTTTGAGCTTTCATGGATTGATCAAGAAGTTAGTTTCACAAGGCAGAAAGAATCTGAATTTTGGTTAAGTCTTTTATGTGTTTCATGTTACCAACTTTGGAGGCTTGGTTCGATCAAGTCATTCAATGAAAATTTGAGTTTGATGGCTTGTTTTTGAAGATGGAGTAAACCTGTGCAAGATGGAAGGCTTATAAGTTCCAATTGGAGTATGGAAGACCATGATTGAAGCTCTCCAAGTTGCCAAATTAAAACCGAGAATCTGCCATTTTTTGCTAAGGCAAATAGCGAGATCAAGGTGCCAACTTTGGAACTTAATAGCTGGAGTTTGGGACACAAGCAGAGACTAATTCGAGTTGCCATGGAAAGAAGAGTACTTACTAAACCAAGGGCAGAAATTGGATGAAGACGAATGGCCTGGGAAGATAATTTTCGAGGCACTCAAAGATGTTGTCTCGAGCTGCCAGAAATCCGCATGACATTAGGATTCCGAGTTGGATTCGGATTACTTGTATAATTTAGTTTCCTTGCTGAATTAGTTTAGTTTCCATTAGTGTTTAGGTTTGTTTTAGCTTGTTTATGCCTTTAAAAGCCCTCATTCATGTATTGTGAAGTTCAGAGTTGATTTATGAAGATAACCCCAAAATTCCCAACGTTTTGAGTTGTGAAGTTGTCTTGTTTTGGTTGCGATCAAATTAAGCTTGCTGAATAAGTGCCTATTAATCAAGCAAACCCCCTCGATTACATCGAAGGCGACCTCATAACGATCGAGCACTCTTCCTGGTGTAAGAGTTCCCTTTCGTTTCCATCGAAACCCCATTCAAACAAGCTTACCCAAGCTCTTTGGAATACCTTGTTCTTGTGTTCTCCAACAAGGAATTTTATTCCTTTGATTGAGCTATGCAATTATGATCCAAGAAGGCATCATTGTGAGGCGACTAGTGAAGGAAGAACCAGAGACAAAGAGATTCCTAAAGGATTTGTTAGGGTTTGGTAAGAAAGATATGGAAAGCAATAATTAAATGTACAATAATCACATGTGGAAATCTCATGTATGTTTGATAATCAGAATCGGTCTTAATCGTTTCTATGAAATCATTTACCAATTGGTCCAGATATCACCACTTCACTAAACAATATGTATTGATTCAAGCAATAAATCATATATTCGAACATTAATGTCATGCATCCACTAACCATAATGTTTTATCAATCAAAATATGAAGTTGTAAGTGCTTATCCCCTCCTATGGACTCAGAATTCGATACTATTGACAATGTGACGCTTCTTGCTTCAAACTCTCCGCAACAGCACAACGTATTTGATGTAATGATGAAGTTGGAAAGGAGTGTTCCCCTGAATGCATCATTGTTATTCAGAACCCGAGATTAAATTCTCTAGGAACAAATAATGATAAACTACGTCGGGAAGCAGCGGTTCATGTGCAAACCCCCCCCACCCCCTATGCAACAGTTTGTATGGATATTTTATTTCAATCCAATCTTATGTCGAAACATGAAACAAACATAACTTTGTGCTCGCGTACCCGATCGTAGCGAGTTTTTAATTCCGCTTAAGTTTTCGAGATCTTGCATGGCGAAACTTCTGCAGGCGGTTTGGTTCCGCTTTTGTCCTAGAAAAACGCCGTTTGTTTCCCCGAATGAGCTTTTTTCCGATCGATTTCGCCAAACTTTGGACGACTATAACTTTAGGCTCCGCACTTCGAACGTCATGAATTTTTTTTTAATTTCGCGTAACTTTAGAAGGAATACAACTTTTACATGGAAGGAATTTTCAAAACAGGAATTATTTCTGGATATACGGGATTTTGGGAATAGCTTTACCTTCACTTTTCACAAATCCAAGTACATTCAGAAATTATGAATATGATAAAAATTGTAATCCTTGAAAAGTTAGAAGAAATCAAAATAAAAATCATGACATTCGGATTGCGGAGAACAAAGTTATAGTCGTCCAAAGTTTGGCGAAATCGGATAAAAGCTCGTTCGGGGTAGCTAACATCGTTTTATCGGGACGAAGGCAAGACCAGACCGCCTGTGGCAGTTTGCGGCTTGCAAGATCTGGAAAAGTTATGTTGGAATAAAAAAAAATCGCTACGATCGGATACCTGAGCACAAAGTTACATTTGTTTAATATTTCGACTTAATAGGGCCTCCAATCGCGGAATTGAATATCATTTCATCCAAATAATGAACTCCTCATTATCCAGCCACCTTCCTTCCACAAGTTTACTGACTTCAATATGGATAACAGAGCACAATCCATCAAATGGAAACATGAAGAATCACAAGGAACGACCAATTGAGAGCCAAGCAACTCTCCACCTCTAATACACGAAATAGAAGATACTTGTCAATTGTCATGAATTAGGTCAAATCGAATGGACGAAATTGTTCTACCATCGCCTCTACACCCCAATCTGAAAAGGCGGATATCGAGATCGTACTCTCGAAAGAAGGGAAACAACCATGAACTTTGAGGATATTAATCTGGGCTAATCGATGCTACTAACCTTCTTGGATTGCTCGAATCCTACGAGATCGATTAATGCTAGAGATTTGGGGATTTATAGGATTAGTTTGGAGCAATGGATCTAGGGATTTTGGATCTTCTATAGAGAAAGCGAGAGTGAAGAAAGGTAGATGAGATCTGATTAGAGCGCTAGCTTTGGGGAGCTGCTGGCTGTCTTCCTCACACCATCGACCCCAACACTGCTCGATGACTCAAAGTATTGGATCTTCCTGGGAGAAGGATAACGCCATTTTTCTTTCTTCTGGAGTTGGATTGC